CAGGTGTGGGGTGACGCGGCCTCACAGATCTTCTACTCGCTGGGCTGCGCCTGGGGTGGGCTCATCACCATGGCCTCCTACAACAAGTTCCACAACAACTGCTACCGGTGAGTGCCCGACTGCAGCTACCCCAGCTCCCCCGCTGCCCCCCCGGACCTGCCGCTGGCCCTAACCCCTCTCCCTGCAGGGACAGCATCATCATCAGCATCACCAACTGCGCCACCAGTGTCTTCGCTGGCTTCGTCATCTTCTCCATCCTGGGCTTCATGGCCAAACACCTGGGCGTGGACGTCTCCAAGGTGGCTGACCACGGCCCTGGCCTGGCCTTCGTTGCCTACCCTGAGGCCCTCACCTTGCTCCCCATCTCACCCCTCTGGTCCATCCTCTTCTTCTTCATGCTCATCCTCCTCGGGCTGGGTACACAGGTAGGTCATGGTGGGACCACCATGTTGGGATGAGGTGACATAGTGGGGCCAAGGTGGTGACATGCTGGCCCCTGCGCACCACATGCAGTTCTGCCTGCTGGAGACGCTGGTCACGGCCATCGTGGATGAGGTGGGCAATGAGTGGATCATCCGCAGGAAGACCTTCGTGACGCTGGGGGTGGCTGTGGCAGGCTTCCTGCTGGGTGTCCCGCTCACTACGCAGGTAGGTGACCGTTGGACTGTCGTTGCCGTGACAACCTTGCTGCGCTGACACCATCAGCCATGTCCACATTGTTGCCATGACAACCCTGGTGGTGGTGACATGCAGGGTCTGGTGTTGCCATGCCAACACTGGCGATGGTAACTCGTTGGCATGGGGCGTTGCCACGCCGACCGCGGTGGTGGTATCCGGGCTGTATGTTGCCGTGCCAGCCGTGCAGCAAAGCCGACGGTGGCGGTACTGCTGGTGCAGCTGTGCCAACAGGTCCCTCTCGCAGGCGGGCATCTACTGGCTCCTGCTGATGGACAACTACGCCGCCAGCTTCTCCCTGGTCGTCATCTCCTGCATCATGTGCGTGGCCATCATGTACATCTACGGTAGGTGCAACTGCCTACAGCCAATCAGCTGGCAGGGCTGCTGCTGCCGACCAGTGGGAAAGGGGGTGTGCTAACTTCTGGCCAATCAGTGGTTTGCTGTGTGCTAACTGGCTCAGGAGTGGAAGGCCTTTGGCCAATCAGGGCAGCTGTGACTTAAGGAGCCTGGTGGGTCCCACCACGGGGGTTCTGGAGCTGGCGTTGGGCAGGGGTGGGAGCGGGCTTGGGGT